GCCCCCAGCCCCATCCGCAAAGCCCGTTTCCTGTCTGCGAATTATAATTCACGGATATGACCGGCGCCATGCCATTGGTACCTGGTGCTATTTTAATGGGCAGCGCATAGGTGGCTGCTCCGGTAGTGCTTACACCATGTGTCCCTTCAATGACCCCAACCGGCAGATCAAGGTTCAGCGTACGGTTAAAAGTAGCGGCTGTAAACAGGGGAGCATAACTTACCGGCTGCGCTTTTAGCAATACTGGCACCAGACAGCAACCAGCCATACAGGCAAACGATCGGATTAATCTCCATTGGGATGAGCTTACATTTTTCATATTCACACAAAATGAAATTGTAAAAACAAAGTAATTAAGTACTTAAATCACTCCCAAAAGAAATTCATCACTATTACAATTATGTATAAACGAAATATACCAGTATTTTATTTGCACTATAACAAATGCATCTATTCAACACAAATCATTTATAGCAAACACCTTATTAACACTCATTAATGTTTACTTGTTTATAAAAGGTCAGTTTTTAATGGCATGAATAATATCCACTAAAATAATTTACAAATTAATTATTTAATTCTTTATAAACCATTAACATCTCTTAACTAAAAGTCAATATTGAGTGCTTTTTCATGATTAAGAGAAGTACGTTGCTTACCTGAAATTCAGGTAAACAGGTGTGATCCATTCATACAGGGGCGTTGCCATGCTGCACAGCAACACTGCCAAGCCCAGGGCTATACCACTGCACAAAATGCTGAATGGCAGATTGCCGCCGCTGAACTCTTCCCGGCTTTTTCCGCGGCTCAAACCGGTAATAACCAGGAGCAGCGCGGCGGTAAATAAAACCTCCGCACAGATGGTGGTGATAAAGTAGTGGCTAAAGGAAAGCAGCGTAGCCTTATAAATAATACCCGATGTAAGCGCGGATCTATAAGCGCCGAAGAAATAAGCGTAGCTATTGGCAGCAATAAGCAGCGTACCCAATATAAAGGCAGCACAAAAGAGCGCGGCACCGGCATCCATTGCCCCAATCGGTTCCGTCAATAATTTCATTCGTCTTAAAAAAGCAGTGGCCAGCCAGAGCAGGAGAAATGCCTGCAATAGTTGCAGGGCCACCGGGAGCAGCAGATTTAGTTGAACAGCAGATTGCATACG